GCCGATAGTGGTATCTGCCACGTACCTGGGCTCCCATTTTTACAACGCTGATAGGCACATAAGCACCGGCTATGCCAGCACTTTGGCTTATACCTGCCGCCTGCCTGTACCTGCTCAAAGTAAAGCTCACTCCATTTCCCCAGCATACATTTGGCTAAAAAAACGTTTTGTCCGTTTTTGTTATAACCTCGCTTAGCACCCTGGATGTACTCATGAACTTTCAATTTTGAAATGCCACCGTGATTTATAACTCTCAACATCTCTCGCTGAAATCGGCGGATAAAGGTGGAAACTGTCCGGGATGCCCCGCACTGTGCGGGACTTAAACATAAGGCTTAACGATGCTTTCATTAAAGAGGCAGAGAAGGTGAGGTACCTAGCCATGTATTTTGACTGCAGCTTGAAATGGAACCACCACATTGATCATTTATCTTTAGCAATTTGCCGCCATATTCGCGTCATGGGGCGATACAAGGTTTTCTTGAATACACGGTCTTTGCTTCTATTCTACATTTGCTTTCTGCACAAGCTCACAACTATGATCGTTGGCGCCCAACACAGACTGGCGCATTGCGATCCCTTCCCAAAGGCCAACACTACTTAAAGCTAGGGAAGTCGCAAAGCAACAGGCAATATTCTTAATGCATAAAACGTACTTCGAACCTGCTCCCTGAAATGGCCGCCGACCTGTTTAGGCTAGCAGATACTATAAGAGTTACCACAAGAAACAGACATCACTTTAATGAAAAATTCACGAAAAAAACTCCAACGCTGTTGCGCTGCAATATGGAACGACCCTCGCCCTTGGAGTTTTATTGTATCACCGAAATCAGTCATAGTGGATGTTATTGAGGCAGCGCAGAGCTACATTAAGAGGCTTGCTATAGATTATTTTCTTGAAGCGCACCATTCTTCGTGATACATTTGATAGACCATGTCGCTGCTTGCGTGCGTGCGTAGGTGCGTACGTGTATATATATATATATATATATATATATATATATATATATATACGTGTGTGTGTGTGTGTGTGTGTGTGTGTGTGTGTGTGTGTGTGTGTGTGTGTGTGTGTGTGTGTGTGTGTGTGTGTGTGTGTGTGTGTGTGTGTGTGTGTGTGTGTGTGTGTGTGAGTGTGTGTGTGTGTGTGTGTGTGAGTGTGTGTGTGTGAGTGTGTGTGTGTGTGTGTGTGTGTGTGTGTGTGTGTGTGTGTGTGTGTGTGTGTGTGTGTGTGTGTGTGTGTGTGTGTGTGTGTGTGTGTGTGTGTGTGCGCGCGCGCGTTTGTGCGTGTGCGTGTGCCTTTGCGTATGCATGTACGTGTGTGTGTATGAGTATGTTTGCGTGTGCGTGTGCGTGTGCCTATGCGTGCGTAACTTTACTATGCCAATTTGTACATTTTCATCCTGTGAATGGCGGCTATGTTTTTCGAGCCCCCGCCTGCAACAAGCATGCTTAGTCTGGTGGGCGGCTGAAACTGGAGCCTTGGACTTGCGCCCCTCGGACCAGACCTTTGCCATCCTTCCCAGTCTGCGTGAGTGCTAATACTACTATGACAGCGGCCAATCGTATGTCGTTTTTGGCTACGACCACTTTTTCGTCCCCTTTGCTTATGTTTGTTAATGACTAACATGACCTGCAGTTGAGCTTCGTAACGTCGTCTTTCCATTTTTGTTTTTGTTTCCACTTTTAGCAGAGAGTGTCGCGACTTGCGTGCATCACTTTTGATCTTAACGTAAAGTTCGGTGCGTCGCTGGGATAATGGAAGGGACACTCCTGGTCGCCCGTTAATGAGTGGCGGTTGGAAAAAAGACGCATGAGTAATTGTATGAAACAATGGAACGTGTTTGCGGAACACTTTGGATGGGTCGAGTGGGTAAATCTGGCACCAGGGGAAACAGCAGTAGGTATGTGATAAAAGCACGGCAATCAGTAATCAGGATGTTTGATCATCTCCAAAATTTTTTGTGAATTAAGAGCGGACAGATTAATCCATCTCCCTCCCCCCTCTCTCCCCGAGTGCCGGTTTGCCTCCCTAGCACAAGCCCTTTAAATGTACCCTTAGCCTAGCCCCTACTTTTGAAACGTTCCTACGTCTTTTTGTCGACTATTAGCTGCTTTTTGAGTTGGCTGCTCCTCCATCTTGCAGGTGCATTGTTGTACGCCTGACAAAGGTCGTGGTCATGTGGCCTACGCAGCTTGTCAATGTCAGCTATAGCCGGAGCCTTAAAGTGGCCCCCATGGTCATGAAAAACAGTCTGTCCAAGACACGTCTGTGCTGAATTCTGGTGTCCCAATAGCAACTGTGTGCACTGGCCTGACACTGCCTACCTAGCTCGTCATCTTTAAACAGGGCCTTAGTGACCAGCCTGGTAATGCAAAACAACTTGTCCCAAGACATATCTGTGCTGAAAGGGACCAATATGATATACCGGTTATTCTTGCTACCGGCCACTCTGGGCTCTGTTCTGACGGTAGCTACACAAATAACACAACGATGAAAGTATTTTTTAACTCCAAATTGCGTGCCTAAAGGAGGGAGATTCATTTTTATGCATTCAAAAATCCTTCTTCCTGAAGCTGGCGGGCAGATCTGTAAAAAAAAAAACGATTCCCTTTCGGAGGAGCGTGGGGGGGGGGGGGGAGGGAGGAGGGGAGGAAGATTTTGTCTTTCCAGAGGTTTGTTGATTGTTTTGTAGAATTCAAATACGCATGTGGTATCAAAGTTTGGAAAGCAAGGTCTCAGAAGGTGGGTGTATATCGCTACGATTTCAAAGAAAAGATTCGCCACAGCGGGTTCTGGTATGAAAGCGAAGGCATTTGGTATTCTTTCGTCCTCTTCAGTGATAAGATTATATATATATAATATATATATATATATATATATATATATATATATTTATATGCATATACATTAAGCTATACATCTATGTCTAGATGGACAACGCTACTCAAAAACTAGTTCCTTTGCTCATTACTCCGTTACTGTACTGCAATTGCAACGGAAGTCACCGAAATTCTTTACTCCGTCTTTTTTGAAACAGTGCAAAAGGTTAGTAACATGCCGTCTAACATGCCGTGAGAAACTCTGGTATAATTATACTATTGTAACAGCATAATAAAAATGCACGTGATTTATAACGCCATTTTAAGAGGACCTCAGTCATGTCTGAGACCGCCTTGGTCGCTACAAGTAACATTGTGTATGCAGTTTTAAGCCTTCCTTGCACATATGATGCTTGGTGTCATCAGGCCTTTCTTAGGTCTCTAGTATTTGATGGGCACAGAATGCCTGTACTGATGTTATTCAGCTCAGTATGTGAGATGGGTTATCCGACCTGAGTATATGACAAGTCTCTCATTTCTCCTGACATGAAAACTGGCTCACATAGATAGCCGTGTTCCTGCGGAATAGAGCGTATCTGCCTTCCAGCTGTTAATACACGGTGTGAGAGGTCGACTGGCTGTTTTTTCCTGGTTCAGCAGTCTGCGCGTGTCTTGTAAGTTGGTTGCCGCCGGTTTGACATTGCTGAGATTGCTAGTGATTTGTGGACAATACATTCATCCACATCGTGCATTCATTTCACCACTTTCTGTCTACTCTAGGCGACGATATCTGACAGCAGCCCTCTACACACAGCACGACGTATGGGTCAGCGGCTTGCGCCCGCACGTGCACAGCCGGCAGCACAGAGCGACCCGCACTTTTGGCAGTATGGTATCCCGTTCTGTTCTCCAACAAACTGTGTTGATGTCGTATCGCTGCCAGGCTAGGTCGTTGGCTTTTGAGCCACGTTTCGACTCAAACTGCACGGATCTTCCGCAGATATTATTTTTCATATTTTCCACGTCATCCAATGAGGTAGTGGAAGGCTGCATTTCGTTCAGATCGCAGGGCTCCAACAAAACTTACAGCTCATCAGACCAGTCACGTGTCAGTGCTTTAAAAACCACACAGAACAACCATGAATAATTACGCTTCGTAAGTTTTCAGTGCATTCGCGAGGAACATTATTCGCATAGATAAGACAGTAGTCATAGCCTTATTCCTCGGAGAAAGGTCAGGAGAATGGAGAAATATAAATGAACTATATTTCGTCCTTCTGGTTTTTCTCCGAGGAATAAGGCTGTTGCTACTGTCTTATCAATAATCACACTTCGTGTTGAAATATTAAGGTGAAGCAAGTGTAAGGCCCCGGCCAGACTGAGTGGGGTGCTCAGTTGGCAGCCTTTTCACCGTTCCAGTAAGACACACTGTTCCCTGTGCCATCGGCGTAGCACGCAGCTCCACCGTCGCGCCTGCACGATCTCACAAACACACACTCTCATCATATCAGTGCTCAACCTCGGACAATAACTCCAACATCCAATCATATTTCGCAGTCTCATGTAGCTTAATGCAACTCGATCCCCTTTACAATAATTACGGTGGGCTTAAGGCTTTAAAATCTAGTCATCTCTCGTCAGCCGACTATGCAGGCGCCGGTACGGCCGCTGAAACGGAAATTAAGGGTCACTGCTTCGGCGCTCAAGCGACATTAGCGGAGGATTAGGGCCGGCGGCGGCGTTTGGGACGGCTGCGCCAGCTGCTGAGGGGCTGGCCCGTGTCGGCTGGCGCGGGGTGGCCCGGTCGGCCGGATAACGCGCTGGTGTGACGCCCGGCGGTGCGGCGGCACCGCGGCGTGTCGGGGCTCATCGATTTTATGGCGCGGCGCCCCAGACCGCACCTCCGCCGTTGCTGCGTCTGTTCCCCTCACGCCTGGGTTTACGAGCGGGGACCCTATCGACACTATTAGTTCTTTCATTAGCTGGAGAATGAGCGCCAGATTTTATTGCATGTCCTCTTTACGACCTGGCGCGCACGGCGCCCGGCTCCTCCGCCAATGAGGCGGCAGCGCGCGCCGCCGCCGACGTCGCTCATTGGTCAGCAGCGGAGGCTTACGCGAACGACTCGCGAGAACTCGCGTCGGTGAAAATACCTGCAGCACATCGCGTGGGGGAGGAAGGGAAGCACGCGCGGGTCTTCCGAGCCTTCTGGCAGTACGTCGGCGGCGGCTACAGTGCGCTGTGAAGGCTCTGTGCCGACGCCGGTCGGTGGGGACGGCGGTGCACGGGTGATCCCAGCCCCGGGTCGGGAGTCGGAGCTCCCCTGCAGTGTGGCGGACGCGCCGCGCCGAGGCCGGGGCCGAGGATGAAGCTGACGCGAGCCTGCCTGGCCGCTCTGTGCCACCTGCTCCTGCTCGAGTGCTCCACGGTCAACGCCACCTGGTGGTAAGTGAGCCGGCGGATCACGAACGCAATCTCGCCAAATCGGCTGAAGGGATAGAGTGAGCGGCATCCGCGTGATGCAGCCGAGCCCATTCCCGAAACTGGATATCTTCTTGGGTTTAACAGCTTCCTGTGTAAAGCTGGGGTGTTCGCTGCATGGGGAAGAGAATGAGAAGAAGGACTGAGCAGAATTAGCAGGTGCTGTGCCGTAATGGTCGTATACTGCACGTCTTATCTGGCGCTCGGTTGTGGGCGGATGCACTGTCTCTTGTGCCTCGCGGGGGCAGCGTCCTGGCACGACTGCGTTCATTATGCAGTGTCGTGCAGTCCCCATATCATTTGCCAAGAACGATCGCTCCTTTAGCACACAGTTCATAGCAGTTCTCCGCCCGTATGGGATGCACGTTCTTGAGGTGTTTATTGCGCTTGAGACGGATTGCACCGCGAGGTATTGTAGTAGACCGCGCCAGCCTCACCTGCGTCTCCTCTTATTTAATAATCATTCATGTGCATTCGGGCATTTCATGCGATCGCGTCAATGCAATAAGCAAACGCGATGATAGCATGGGTATAACGCCTGCCTATTGTAAAAGTAGGCGGACTGCATGCATGGCACGCTCGTCATGGCATGATATAGCATGCACACGATAGTGCGCCTATCTTCTGATGTACATTAAGCCTTCCAAAAATGTGATGCGTTCTGTTCACCATCATGCCACTGGAGATCGTCCGATGCGAGAGTTGCCGCACAGTCGTTGTGCAGGAACTCTCCGCTGTAATAGCAGAATCATGCTCATACAGCACACAGCCGTACATGAAATCCGATGAAATCCGCTGGAAGTACGTGGCGTGCGAGTTTTTCTAGAGCTTCCTTCCCTGCAGGACGCTATCATGTATCACTATCTCACGTGCGGCACACAACACTGGCTTTTCGCTCGCAGGCTAAGTGGTTCCACCGCTTTCTGTGAGTGAACTGTCGCAGATATTCCGTCAATGCTATCGCAGTCTGCACGCTCAAGCGGATTGGCTCCGACAGCGGTCTATGCAAAATCATCGTCCTACGAACAGAAACCGATATATATATATATATATATATATATATATATATATACAAACAAACATGACAGGGCATCAGCACAACAACTGACAGGCAACACTGGCATTCTCCAGAAACGCAATATCAGAAGACGTGTTCAAATTTCGAAACAAGCATATTTATCAGCAAATTCTCTCTAGCCCTAAGCAAACAAACAAATTCCTGCACAACTCTTGAGTTGTTGGGTGGTAGGTAGCATCTACCTTACATGGAATTGTGATTATGGGCCTTCTGTTGTGTTTTCACTACGTACGCATGTCTTTTCATTGTGGCTGTCACCATGGGTTTTTGCACATCAAGTAACGATAGGAATTTTTACTTATCTCCGTGCTAATTGATGTTTTTAATATAACGATGCACATCTGCCGCTCTTGAAAACTTAAGGCCCATCACTTGTGCCATTAGTATTTCTCCCATTATGGGATAAAGAAGTGAACTCATGTTTATTTTCCGGCGACTTCAAATTTGTAATTTTCATGAAGCGTATTTGACGTCACCGGGAAATGCACATGAGCTCGCTTCTTATCCAAGAAGCTGCCGAGTGCATAATGTTGTGTTGCTGTGCCTCTTTTGAATGTCTGATGATGTTAGTGGATTCAACAAGCTTTGATATAAAGGCGGAGTTCTACAAAAATGTCCAATTGATGGTAGAAAGGCCGTCGGGAGCCTGAAAAACCTTGGCGAGAAGTAGCCGAAATGTCTACCGAAACATACATGACTCAGATGACGTCACCTTGTCTCGTGCTCAGACGGTGTAACGGTGTGCCGTGCTCTGATGCTCAATGCCGAGTGTCTTCACCTGATGCTGTAGGGGTCACGTACCCACTGTGGAGTCACGAGGCGACGGAGACCGAGGAACGTGACGCCAGGCTACAGCGCTGAGAAAGGCCAGCTTTTGTTTCATTATGAGGTGGAATGAGACATCACGCCGCGCTGCCGTGACGCCCGGCGACTAGAGAGGATCGCGGCGTAACGCGTCATGAGAGAGGACGGAACCGTGCTCTGACGCCACGAGCCTAGCCTGGAGAGGACTGCAATGTGGCGTCACGAGACGGGCCGCGCCGCCGCGGCCATTAGCGCCGCCGCATAACTCTGTCCTGTGCCTGGTGACGGCCTGCCGTATCCGTATGCAGCCCGGCCGGCCCGTCAATCAGGGCAGACTCGGCTGGTCTCGGCGCGGTCAGACATCGGCGGCGATGGCCACGCCTCTGGCCACAGCTCGGTACCAGCACTGGTCACAGCTCAGTACCAGCACCGGCCACAGCTCAGTACCAGCACCGGCCACAGCTCAGTACCAGCACCGGCCACAGCTCAGTACCAGCACCGACCACAGCTCGGTACCAGCACCAGCCACAGCTCGGTACCAGCACCGGCTGCAGCTCAGGAACTGTGTAATGCTTCTATAGCTCACTAGCGGCACCGCCTTGTCAGTGTCTGCCAGATCCGGCAGGAGTTCCGTAGAGCCACAGTCGTGGTACGCCCGTTAGTAATGGCTTGGGCAGCTGCCACACCTTTTATCACCCGTGTGGGAGCGTCAGACACGTCCTCAGAAGTGCACGTGCCACTACTCGGCATAACACAGACAATTTGGACAACCTGTGCCGCAAGGCTTCCGGGAACTCTTACAAAAAGGGAGTTACTTTGTCTCAGATTGCGTTTAACTCATCATTACCAACTTTTTCAAGTGTCATATCCGCTAGCAACAATACAGAGGAAAAATTATGTGAATGAAAAATATTCACATCTCTCATCACCCATTTCATGACACATTATTACGCCGTTGTGACAAATGCTCCAAAAATCTGTTAATTTGTGTGAGATCTTCATGCCGTAGTACCGCACCGTTTTTGCAAATGCGTCCGTTTTTAGGCGTTTTGCACATTGAGCTCAATTAGGGCCCAAAGGTTTCTACCTTTCTAGAACGCTACGCTTAACACAGAGCTGCCAGGAAACACGGGGTTTCGCACAGCGGGATTAGTGCGTAAATAAGGACGAAGACGGAGGGGGAATGGCCAAAAATGCATAACGTAACTGAAAGGCCGCCCCTCGGACATTGATCGAGGCTCGGCTTGCTATGCTGCGCCTGCCCTGCATCCTGCTCTCAGAAGCGTATTCGCACACGCGCTCGGCTGGGTCCGGTTGCCGCTGACCCGGCCTCGGACGTAGGCCCCGGCCCCGGCCCCGGCCCCGCTCCCAGTCCCGGTCCGGTCCCCGGTCCGGTCCCCGGTCCCGGTCCCGGTCCCGGTCCCGGTCCCGGTCCCGGTCCTGGTCCCGTCCCGGCCCTGGTCCCGGCCCCGGTTCCGGTCCTGGCCTCGGCCCCGGTCCCGGTCCCGGTCCCGGTCCCGGTCCCGGTCCTGGAGCCGGCCGCAGCGGTCCGGTCCGGAGCGTGCGGGACCCGCCGCCGCCGATCGGCTTTTTACGGTCGCGGCGGGCGGCCGGTCCAGGAGCCGGACGACAGACGCCCGGTCTGGATTAGCCGGGCAAAAACCGCGTCATCGCCACTCACCGCACGGCCTTTGAACGGCGCCGGCAGCAGCGGCGGACACAAGAAAGTCGGGCCTCCCGCTAAATCACGCTCAGCTCAGCTTGGCTACCTGATGCGGATGAGATGAAGTAAAATAAAATCACATCTGGCCTGCTGTGAGCAATCAAAAACGTGTCGTTATCCAAGAACCATACGCAAACAACAGGACCCACTTGGCGTATGCAGCGATCCGTGACAAATCCTACGCGTCACTGACATGAATGACTGCATGATAATACGATATCGGTGACACCTGGATGACAAACAGCCAAGGAACTTGAATACTATCGCCCGGTTAACAGAAAGGCAAACTTTTCATCTCACATTCCAATATCCGAAAAATGTAGTGAGTTCTAATGGGCCTGTATGACTTCATCGTGGTCTCGTGCCATCGTGAGGCAAGGCTTTTTTCTGACGGATATGTCATCATTACATTCTGTCTTCCAGGGTTGTAGCTAAAACAAATGCAAGATCGCATTCCACAGCTATTCAAGATTATTATCAGACTGGGGCCTTATAAGCCGCACACTCAAAGTACGGTAGTTTCTAGACCAGAAACCTCTAAAATGTCGACAACGAACAGCATTACTCCCTTTCCTCCCGATTACTCGCAGAGAATAGTCTTCTCCACGATCTCCAACCTCTTTAGTCAACAACCAGGAGAAAGTGCATTTCCCACACCAGCTCATACCGTATCTTGGGAGACCACCTGCGTTTTCGCCTGGAATTCCTGAAAGCGACCTATGCTGTGCACTCCGCGTCACAGCGGCCTGTGACGGCAGCGCAGGACGTCACGGTGGCGTGCTCTGCCAGAGCAGGACGCCACGATGGCGCGCTCTGCCAGAGCAAAACGTCAAGGTGACGTGTCCAGAGCAGGACGTCACGGTGACGTGTCCAGAGCAAAACGTCACGGTGACGTGTCCAGAGCAGGACGTCACGGCGACGTGTCCAGAGGAGGACATCACGGTGACGCGTCCAGAGCAGGACGTCACGGTGACGTGTCCAGAGCAGGGCGTCACGGTGACGCGTCCAGGACAGAGCGTCACGGTAACGTATCCTGCCAGAGCAGGACGTCACGGTGACGTGTCCTACCGGAGCGGCGGCCGTGCCACCGGCGCAGCGGCCACCCCGCACCTGGCCAGCCAGCGGGGCTCACCACAGAGGCGGCGGGTCACCACTTGAGCACGCCCCGCAGGGCCGCGAGCGAGGCGGACCGCAGCGAAAGTCTGCTGACCCGGGCCTACCGGCGCTGCCGGCGCCTCACCGGAGCGCGGTAGAGGCGGCCATGAGCCGCCGGTCACGCCCCAGCGGCCAGCATCAGTACGACGGAATGCATCACGACGTGGGACGACCGTGGCGAGCACGGAGGTGAATATTCTCACC